TTTGGGCAGATAAAGCGCTTTCTGTCTAACTGCGGTTCGGCTGCGGGCAGCTTCCCTGCGAAATCTCCCCCAGGCTTCCAGCGAGCCGAGAGGAATGGGCAAAGTAAAGGCTTAATAACTTTCACGTGTGCCTAAGCAAAAATAAATAAATAAATAAATTTGATTCTGACAGAAGATCCTCCTCCTGCTTTTAGGAAGTGTAGATGGGACACTGGAAAAGAAAAATCAGACTGTCCTCTCACCCGTTCCCCCGCTTTCCCCAGTTGTATGTTTTAAGCAAACTGCTTTGAAATGAGGAAATTGCATTTTTCAAGAAGCTAAAGTAAGATTTCCGCAGCCGTTGTAAGAAATGCATCGTGTTTGTGATTAGCAATAGTTTCAAATATCTGAGAGAATACGTTGTGATAGTTTTGCCTGCAGATCAAAGTGAAATAACGAGACCACGGCAGATATGTGTGTATAAAGATACACACACAGAGATATTTGCAGGTGTCTCATTTCTGTTACTGGGTCTGCTTTAAATCTAAATAAAAACAATGCCATAAGGTGCGTAGCCCACAGTGAGTATTCAGAGTGTGATCACTAGGTGTCACTACCACTTATTAGTCTGCAACCTGATGTCTTTTACAGCGCCTTAGTTGCTTCAAGTGATACTCATAATAGCACATTCAAGGGCGTAATAGGTGAATGGCCCTCCCGGATCCCAGCCACGTCTCTGAACAGCAGTTTTGGCTTTTTACTTGCAGATAGCTTATTGTCACCTGAATTCTGAACACGGTGCACCATTGCTCTCAGTTCTTTTGAAAATTAGATCGTGAGTTCCAGAAATATTGGCAAGCTGTGCGCATCATTATAGTCTAAGGATTACTATTTTCGTGTTGCACTGCAGACTTATAAGGTTCTGACAAACAAGATAGAATTCTCTTTTTATAACTTAATCCACTGCTGTTTATAAAAAAAACGATGTTGTTCCATGTGTTTGTCTTTCTAGAAATTGGCATCTCCAAAGAAGAAGCGCTAGAAGCATTACAGGTTGTAAGGCAGGAATGTCGCGGTGATGCGACACGGACTGCTGGGGCACCTGGCACTTCCAGGAAGTGCACAGCACTGGAGCTATTGGAACAGGAGCAAGCCCAGGGTTTCATCATCACCTTTTGTTCAGCACTAGACAATATTCTCGGAGGTGGTGTGCAACTAACAAAAATCACCGAGATCTGTGGAGCACCTGGTGTTGGGAAAACACAGCTATGGTATTCTATTTTTACGTTACTTTTGTGCAACAGAGAATCACTTTTCTTGTCTGAATTTAACTCTGATGAGATTTCTTCATACTTATTGTCATAGCTGCAATCTCTCATTCTTATACAGCATTACAAATATAATCTTGATATTGATTCTGCTCCTTGCTACTCCATGTATTCCGCAGCAAAAATGTCACTTTGGGAATAGGCTGGGAGGGGAGAGCGTTGTAATGCATGTTTTTATCTTTTTATCTTTCTGTTTCCCATGGCAGTATGCAGCTGGCGGTAGACGTACAGATCCCAGAATGCTTTGGGGGTCTAGCTGGAGAAGCAGTGTTCATTGATACCGAAGGAAGTTTTATGGTAGAGAGAGTAGTGGATATTGCAACTGCCTGTGTGCAGCATTGCCAACTTATTGCTGAAGCTGACCAAGAAGAAGGTATGTTGCTAAGTCATGTTTTTTTCTGCCTAATAGGCTAGGATTTGGGTGAAGTGAGTGTCTCATAGACTGCAGTTTTACAGTATGGGGTTTTCAGCAGCAGTGCTGGCTTTAGGAATTCTTGCTGCCAGCCTTTTATTTCTGTCTGAATGTCCTAGGGCATCACATCCTGAACTGCGTCAATATGATGGTGGGACCATGCTGCAGACTGAGCTGAACCAGTTCAAGAATATTTCTTTTCTAAGGGATTATTTGTTGTTTTTTTGGGGATGCGTTTTGGGTTATTTGTTTTTGTTTTTAACACAGATCGCGTTAGTGATAAAATTTACAGCAAAACCCAAACACTTCTGTCTCAGCAAAACTGAGGGAGAATATGCTGCAACACAAGGACAGGAAGAGCAGCTTGGGAACAGGAAGAGGAAAGGCAGAATTGTTTAAGTCAGTGTTAGTGTGGAAGCCCCATGTTGCAAAATTGTAGCTGCAATCTAGCTCTTTCTAAAAGTCAATTTGACAGGTTGCATTTAATTGAATAATTTTATTCTGTAAGTCGTCAGAATGTTAGGGACACTGACACAACTTTTATGTTGTTCTTGGAGCATTTTGTACAAAGAACTGGATTTGAACAGAGCTAAAAGGACACCATATTATATGAGCTGCTACCTGTATATTAAACAATGCTTGACTAATACTAACTGCTGTTAGGTGCTGATGTTCTGGCTTGAAAATGACTTACTCAGAAAGTCCTTTTGGACAAATTCATTTTTCATGTTTGGAGCATTCCTTTGGAAGCTCCAGTGAATCTGTGTGCAAGTGTTGAAACAGCATTGAGTCACCGCTTTTCTGACTTTCAAGCCAGATGGAAAATATGTTTTCCACACTCTTTACCTTGACTGTTTTTGTTCCTTTAGCAAAGTTTCTGTTTCTGGGTGTTTGGCAGTTGTTGTTGCTGTATGTGGAAGAAATAGTTTGGTGGAATGATGGGAGTGGCAATACGTTAGTACAAACTTCTGACCCGTTTATTCATCTATTTATTTTTTCTCAGATCATCTAAAAGCTTTGGAGACTTTTTCTCTTGAAAATATCCTTTCTCACATATATTATTTCCGTTGCCGTGACTACATAGAGCTTCTAGCGCAGGTCTACCTCCTCCCAGACTTTCTTTCAGAGCATTCAAAGGTAAGGTTATTGCAGACTTACCTGAAGATATCATTCATCTTCACGCTAAAGATTTTGAGTGATGCTCACCTGGTACAGTAAGAATGCGCATTTCTATGAGCAATGACTTAGGAATCATCACAAAACTACTTTACAGAAGAGATTGAGCCGTGTGTGTGTCTGATGACCATCGTGCAGGGGGATCAGAATGCCCTAGCGTCAGTCTTTTCTCCTACCAGATCCCTGAGGGCCGGAAGCATCCTGCATCCTCCCCGCATCCAGAAACTGACTCTTCATTCTTTCCAATGCGTTTTCTGTTGCTACAAGCAACCAGAGTCTGCAGCTTAACTCTTGGGTGAACTACAGCCAAAAAGTTGCCAGTTGTCTTAGTGGAATGCTATCATAATGCAGATTTCTCCACCTCCTTTCCAGATTTCTAGATTCTGCAAGGCAGGTCATTCCCGAAACAGGAAGATGACTTGTGCTTCATTGTAAGAGAGCACAAATCAATGGTGTTTAGTTAGATTGTCTTTTGGATATCATTTTCATTTTTGGATGCAGTTATGAGCTTGAAAGTGCAGGTGGGAATCTTACTTTTCCTTGGTATAGTCTGAGAGTATTTCCCTTCCTCTGCCAGGTACTAATGGTGCCCCGTTGTGTTTGCTCTTGTGGAAAGTACATGGCTTCATTAGCACGGTTACATTGGGCTGCAGTTCTCTGGTACCATCTGTGCTGATTACTTGTGCTTGGCTTGGAGCCTAAAATACTGAAGGTTGCAGGAGAATCATAAGACCTTCTGGTGATTCCTTAGGCAGCCCATAATTGACATGACAGACTCCTCGCTGTAGCCTAGTTCTCATTAAAATTGGTCTCATCCCTCTGAGCGGACCTAAAGCCAAGACTGGGACTATAAAAATACTCCACGTTTTAGGTTTTCTTATGAGAGATACAGGTGGGGTTTTTTTTTCAGATATGTCTGACAGTTGGTAATATGAATTATTTTGAAATTTTGTTGACAAGATGAAAAAGACCATGCTAAGAAAATGTTACTGTCCTAATAAACATAATTCATCAAGGTATGTTAGAGAGAAATTCTGATGATGAGCAGGTGTGTATTATCAAGCTTTCCTGATATTGTGTAGTCTTGAATACTTCAAGTCTACTCATCTGCTATTTTAGAACAAGTGCAACATGGAGAAAATAAACTAAATTACTAATAACTAAATTACATCCTACCTGGACACGTTCATCTGATAGGAAAGTTGTATAACTATGTATATGTTTCTTTCTGGTATGAGTCATTTTTATACTCTTAATCTGGTTGTTTTCATAGTCAAAAAATCAAGCACAAAGAAAATGTACAGGCTCCTTGAAAAGAATTTGCACGAAGGAGAGAAATGGAAGAGAGCAGAAGAATATCTTATTTTGATTCTCACTATTTAATCTTTTTTCAAATTACTTTTTTTTTTCTCAGTTGGAGCCCCAGGGCCATTTCACAGAGTGATGTTTGCTGCAGGCTTGTATGTTCCAGACCCAAAGCTATTTTCCAGTGATGAGTTAAATCAATAATATAGAAAAAAAAAAGAGTCTTCTAGTGTTGTTTCCAATTTGTTATCTTGTGTATTAATGCAAAAACTTGCAGATACCCAGGATTTTAGTGGAAAATGAACCCATGAATAATACAAGACTATTGGTCTCCCTTCTGTTATTTCAGGCAAATTTGGGTCAGGAGAACAACTGCAACAAATGAAGTTAGAATAAATCAAAATCCCAAATGGATGAATATGTAGTGTCTTGAGGGTGATGAGCCTACAGCAGCATTGTACTCTGGTTGCAGCTAATGATTGCTGCCAAAGGAGTAATTCAGTAAGGCAAACACCTCCAGAGAAGACGGATATCCAGCTTCATTAAGTAATGTCTGGAATATCTTCAAGCGTCTGTTAAAATCCATGTTTCTAAGACAGGTCACTGATATGGTCCTCAGTATCTGATAAGTTACTTCAACAGTGACTGCAGACAGCACGTCTTCTGGTTCTGGTTTTATTTTTTGAGGGAGAGAGTGAAATAAAACAGTGCTCATGGAGAGCTGATTGAAGTGCGCTTCTGATGTTTAATGAAATTTCTCTTCAGCTTCTATTCGGCAAGACTGCTTTGACCACCTTTATCCCTTGGTGTTCTGTACCAGGTGCTGCAGAGATAAGTCACCTAGCTTGTAAGCAAGAGAGCTCTGAAACCAGAAACATTCAGAAGGGCAGCTCTGTGCTGAGTTAACTAACAGGAGGGCTTAGTGCAGCATTTTGTTTAAGCTAATGCAGCTATGGTCTGAGATAGTATCTATGTATAATGCAGTATTGCACTTAGCAAATATACTGATTTATACTAGCGTATACTGTTGCAGTTTGGAGCTTGAGACTCTTCAGCCTGCACTCCTTTATGCAGTGCAGATTGTCTCCAATAAGCAGAGACAGACAATAGATGTTATACTGTCAAGCACATCTGAGTATAAAGTAAAAGACTGCCATCACCTCATATAAAACAGATTCTGATGCGCTTGGAAGATCTTACTACTTTTTGTTATCAGTTTGTAGGATACTAATCGTAGGTTTTTTTCTTCTCCTTTATTTAGGTCCGACTGGTGGTAATTGATGGAATTGCATTTCCCTTTCGCCATGACTTTGAGGACCTCTCACTTCGCACAAGACTTTTGAATGGTCTTGCACAACAGCTGATCATCATAGCAAATGATCATAAAGCAGCAGTAAGTCTAGGGCAAGTTTAAATCACAAATGATGCTACTTTGGAATCAGTGCCTTAGAAAGGATTAAGCAAATAGGATGTGTGATTGCTTGTAGACAGCAAAATAAAACTGCAAGAACGTCCTTTACGTTCATATTTGCCAGTTTTGTCAGTAAATATAGATGTATGGCACAGGCAAAAGGGTTTAGCTAGGAAGTTCCTGGACTTACCAAATAAATAAAATTCTCATAAGCATCCTGTAAATTTTAACTAAATGGTAACATATCAATTTGTCATGCTGTTTCACATCATCCCCTTTCGTGACTTCATTAGAAAAATAACATTCCTTTGGTGAGTTTTCCTACCTACAAAGCACACGCTTTAAGATACATCAGAATATTTAGCAGTACCAACATATTTTTAAATGAAGAATATAAATTTAAGGTACTGCGATAGTGGAATAACTGCTTCTAGGGAGGAAAGCCACTTTATCTGCTAGAGTTTGGCTTGCTGTTCTGGCATCCATGGAAACCCACAGCTTCCTGCCTGGGGATTGTTTCTACCTCATTTACGCCAGTATGGAAGCCTGCAAATGTGCAGCCTTGTAGCCAGCAGATGGCACTCAGAAGCTACATCTGTTCCTGAAGTTGTTCGATGAGTCTGTTGCAGCACAGAAAAGGGTTGTTCAGGAATTAGAGCTTACGGGGTCTCAAAATGGTGCTTGTTCCTGTATCTGTTTCCAGGTGACTTGCTTCCTTGTCACCCACAACTCTCTCTCACAATTGGCTTTTGTTTGTACTGCTAAAAATAAGCCTCCCCTTGTGTTTCCTCACCTGCACGAAGAGAAAGAGCACAACTCCACGTTCTGCCAGTTAGGCAACTGTACTTGCTGCTGAAAGCAGATCCCCTCTCTCCCCCCAGTATAAGTTATGAAGGTTCTTCCTTCTGGAGTGGGCTCCAACGGAGACAAATATTATATGACTGCTTGATTTGCACAGTGTCCGGTTAATTGATTACTCTCAGTCATACATTAGGTGCCCAGTGACCTTGAAAGGGAGCAGTTGTCATTGCATAGTCTTTTTCCTTCTGTCAAGTGAAATATGTTTAACTTGTTTGTGTCGAACAAGTGAGCAGTTTGGTAAAAGTGTTTGCTAAATCAACACTCGCTAAAGAAGCGATCAGTCACAGAGCTTCAGAAATGGTCTAGCTCAGAGTGGCCCTTTTGTTAGTTTTTGAGTTAGTTACATGTAGCTTGCAAGCAGTCTAAATTAAGCTTGCATGCCAGGAGTTGCTCGACTGGCAACGAAGCTGGGCTGTCTGAACGCTCTAATATGGGAGGAAGTGAGTTTCTTCAGTTTCTAAAGCTGAACTCGTTGGGTTGTGCTGGGATGCCCAGTCAAGCTCTCCTCCCTCAATGGGGCTCAGTGGGACCATTGCGGGGCTGTTATCATCGATCTATGATGAGTTAATTCTCCAAAATACACAGTGTATGTTTTGGGGCTTTCAGCTGTGTAAATGTTTTGGTATGTGCCCCATATGCTCAGTGCAATTGGCTGCTCTAGTACACTTTTCTAACTGTTCAAGCAAGAATCATACAGGCATGTCAAACACCAAAAAAAAGCTAGGGTTTAAGACAGGTACAATTTTTTATTTTTCATTTTTAATGAACCTTGCAGTTAATATTCCTGGCTCTTTCCTGTCTCACCCACCCCCACTTCTACCAAGGATCTAACCTAGACTGTCTGTGAACCTCCTACGAATGATTCGTGCTGCGAAAACACTCCCCCGTTCTGTCTGTTCACTCTCATTCTGCTTTGCATTGTATCCATTTGCACATTTTTAGACTACAAGGTGCAGAAATGTTGTTAATCGTTAGGCTTATGCATGCTTTGTGCAGCACTACCAAGTTTGTTTATGGCACAGTGAGTGAAACCTATCCCTATAGAGAGGGCTAATACAAGTCCTGTGCATCTAAATACAGATCTGAAGAGTCTTTGGTACATATACAGTGGAATAGATGAGTTGTGTTGAGTTTCTGTCCCTTGGGTAGGGAGAGATTTCATTTTGTAAGTCTTGAATGAAAGAAATCAACTTCCCATGCAGACTGAAAGTACATTTTGCAGAATTCTCCTGTTTTATTTTGGCTATTGAGAAAAGATGAGGCACCTTTATAGTTTCTTCTTGCTAACACAAGTTTCATTCTGTTGGCAAGAGTTTGGTCTGAGTAAGCATTTTATCAATAAAACCTTTCTGAAAAATCTATCTCTTTCCCCTCCCCCATTATGATTGCTTCCTAGAGTTGTGTTTTTTTTTGTTTGTTTGTTTCTGTTTCCTCTTTTAGGTAGTTCTGACAAATCAAATGACAACGAGGATTGGACAAAGCCAGTCCACACTGGTACCTGCTTTAGGTAGGTGTTTAGCGTGTGAGTTGAAAACCAACAATCTTTGAATACATGATTTCCTTTCTTTTGGTATCATGAACCAAAAAAAGTTGTCTGCTAAAATTTCTGTGGTATAGCAGAATCCATGGTGGAACTATTAGCATAAATCTAAACTATTAGCCTCGAACTATTAGCACTGGGGAACTCTGCAGTAGTACCTATCCATGTCAGCATCGTAATTATAATTAGCAACTATCAAATTTTATTGTAAGCTCAAATGTGGCTTGTAGGTTAGAATCCTGATTAGATTTTTGAAAAGGTATTACAAATATTTTTAAAAGTCATGACATTTTAAGATTGCAGAAACTCAGAGGTTGAGAATGTTGCTGGATTTTTTTTTTCTCTTTTTAAACCCGAATATTTAATGCTAAACTTTAAATTAGATCTGTCACTGTTACCTGAGCTGATTGAATCACCCTTTATGGGTAAACACTAAGAACACTCTGTTGAGTAACTAGTTTCTTAGACCTGTAGCTAATGTGTTGCAGCCTTCCCCTGAGGCTGTAGAGGTACCTCTGTTCCAGCTGCAGCTGTGCCAGCTAAGGAGGCCACTATCCCTGCTGGAGGTCACTGCCCTAATCTACAAGCTGGTTGAGCTGTTTATGCGAGTGTGTCACAATACATTTCTGTCAAAAGTGAGTCAGGCAAGCTTAAGTAATTTAACTAATAAGCAAGCCTCTGCTAAGCAGGTAATTTAGACTGAAACTGGCTGGTGTTCATGCAAATAATGCAGGGATTAACTGTGGGCAGTAGACCTCTGGCAGGAAGATGGTGATAAGCAGGTTGAATCAATAACAGGACATGTGTCCGTGGCTTTATGGTTGTGGAACTCAAAGTATGCTGCAATTTCCTAAATTCCCTGAGAACTGTTAACTGCCCCTCCAAAACACATTCAAGTGTAATGGCAAAATAAACAGTTTAAAGTGTTTCCACTAGTTATTTGCAAAGGTATTTCATATTTGGTGCGTAGCTGGAACTATCTATCCTTTACTCTCTACAGTTATGATGTAGAGGAAAGTCTATGTGGGCTCCTGAATTACAGCCTGCCCATAGTGAGTTTAAATGGTTCTTACAGGCTGTTCAGGCTTGCCTTGTAATAAGCAGTGCCCGATACAGACTGTTTTACTCTGTTCGCAGGGGAGACTAGCACAATTCATCTGAAACAGAGATTTGGCCAAGTTAAGATTTAAATGCTGAGCCTTTTCTTGACTCAGGTTGTAACTTTATATTATTTCATGATGCAGTTAAAGGGCAAAAATTCTGTGCCCTTAGCTTCAGATTCTGTGGACTAAGTAATGTTTCCCTTGGTCTGGAGGGGAAGGAGAAGAAGGAGAGAGTACAAAGGCAAAGATGTTCTCAGTGTCTGTACAGGCATTAAACCATTTGGCACAGATGTAAGGTAAAATGAACAAATACAGATCATCTCTTTGGAGAATGTGAAATTTTGGGCTGTGCATGCAGATAAAGACCCAGCTGTCAGTATCTGACCCTTTTTGTCATTTTCACATTTTGTTCTCTGATGTATTAGTTATTTTTGGCAGCCTTTCTGGCTACAAACTGAATTAAAGCTAATAGATTCTGCCTTGACTTTTTTAATAGCCAGCAGTGTTTGAGCGCTGTTGTGTTTGTGTTTACCTACTGTCTTAGGGACAGTAAAGAATGCTAAAGGAGTCAGTGTAGGTTATAATCCTGAGTTATCGCATATTGTCTTGCACACGATTTTATTCTTAAGAGCATTTAATTTGACGAAACCTCCTCTTGAGGAGACCATAAACTGATTGAGGCTCTCACCAGAACGTGCGTGTAGCCACATAGTTTCGTTGAACTGAATAGTAGTATATCCTCTTGCAAAAATGAAAGTTTGTACCAGCTGGTAAAATATTCAAGGAAAGAGATACTCTGCTCATCCAAATTTAAACAGCAATATCTCAAGTTGAGAATTTCAAAGTGGTACAAAGCTGTTTGCAACTTGATGTGAATTTATTCCGTAGACTTGGTGTGAGTGTCATGCTGGTGTATTACTGGGTGGTTTTATGACCCACGCTGAAGGGATGCTATTGCAACAGTCTCATCGTGTCGTAAAGCTGAAAAAGCTCCTACTCCTCTATGGTTGCTGGTAGCCAGAGGGACTTCTGAGGGGTAGGTGAGCAGAAAAAAACCCAAGTAAAATCAGTCCAGTTGCCTGCCCTACATAGGGTTTTTTTTTTTTTTTCCTGTTTATTGGTAGCGCCTAGAAACAGCCTTTTCTAAGATTTCACAAGAGCATTAATCCCTAAACTCTTATTCAGGTTCCTAGTGGAAGGGAATTCCTTAATTATGAAAAAGAGCACAGATGCTGCAAGGTATTAAGTCAAGAGCTTTATGAAAGAGGCAGCTTGCTTTCCCACTAGTGATAGCTAAGCTGGGTGTTCCTAGACGTTTCTGCTTGATATATTTAGAAAGGAGGTCAAATATTAATCTGCAGCCAGTTTAACTCAGAAATATCTCATTTTGCAGTAGCATTTTTCCCTTTGTATTCAATGTATTTGGAAGCAGTCTGGTGTAGAACTTTGCTCCATTTGTAAATTATGTGTTTTGATCTCTGACTCAGAACTATATCCAATGGCCAAAACTGTAAATCTCAACTAAGATACAATGGAGCAGGGTCTGGCAAGATGCCTAAAGGGTCTAGGTCTTCATTACAGTTGAGTCATTTTTTCTTCCCCATGCTATAATGAAGGCCAGAGCACGTGGGGCTGGTGTTGTGCTGGAGACCAACAAATAACTGATTCAGAATGTAATGGGTTGTGTAGGGATGAATAGGAGAGGCTTGCAGTACTTAACCAAATGACTATTTGAAAATTCAGTCCATCTTCTGACTACTGAATGTCTCCTGGGATAAACAGAGGAAAACACCCAATAGAGCTGTTTATAAATTTAATTATCTCATGGTCACACGTGATCTGAAACAGTAGGACTGTTTCCCCTGAAACAGGATAACAGCCCAACTTTCTTCTCTCTCCCTCCCCCCCACCCCGTTCTGTTCTTTTTCATTTTGCTGTCAGAAAAGGAAGACTGCTTCAGGGGCCCTTAATACTTTAATAATCATTGACTTTCTCCCAAAGCTTGTATCCCAAAGGGAGTGATGTTTGCTCATAATTATGCCTGAGAGACAGAGTATCACAATTTTGAACTAGGATTCAGACATGCTAGACTTTTTCATTAGTAAATTAGAAAAATCTTTTCTTCATGCTGCCTCTGTTTTCAAGATTTGTCTAGTACCTGCCCTTTTTTAGGTGTATATAAAATCTTTCTACAAATACAGAAGTATTGCATCAAGCTTTTTATAAAACACACTGTGGGTGAGTACAGAGGTTATTCCTTGTCTGTATAGTATATTTGATAAACTAGTTGTGAAATCCTTGCATGTGTAAAAGATGTGATTCATTACTGCAAGAAAAGTATATATATTTTAATCATTTTTTGGAAGACTGATCTAATTTCAGTTCAACTTATTGATGCTGCTGCTTTTATAGGAGATAAATAAAAATGGCCTATCATTTTATGTCACCCAGGAGAAAGCTGGGGACACGCTGCTACTGTTCGTTTAATCTTTCACTGGGACAACAATCAAAGGTAAGTGTAAATGTATGCCAGTAAGGTACCTAGTAATACTGCCTAGTCTAACACTGGAGAATCTTTTTGACTTCAGGACGTGGTCTCCCACATCCTAGGCTACTGAGGCTGAAAAAGAACTATCTAGCTCAGCCCTGAGACAGTGTGAGCTGAACAGTTGTGCTCCTTCTTTTCACTGGTGATTAGGTTAAAAAAAAAAAAAACTTTTTTTTTTTTAATAACCTAACTGTGAGCACATATGGGTGTCCTCAGTCACAGACCTCCAAGCTTCACCAAAAATCAGTCTCTCAGTCTACATTTTGCAAGCAGGAAGAATTTCTTTGCTAAGTCTGACTTTTAAGCCCTAGTCAGTACAAAGCCCTTTGATGTCCAAGAAGGCTTTCCACCTAGACAGTGATTCCCAGGGGGATAGAACATAGGCCTGCTGACTCCTGAGCCTCATTTGCAGCTTTAGGACCATTCTGCTTTTGAATACAGTAGGATGGTTCTGAAAACTGGACAGCCGTGCAAATACTAAGTGACAGTTAACTGCAGAGATGTAGAAAGAGAGTTGCCTTTACTCCCAATGCAGAGTGGACCTATGGAAGATGATTTTAGAAGCAGATGACTCCTCTAAAACCTGTATGAAGTTCTCTGTCTGTTGCGATGTGATTTTTGTTGTTTCTTTTTTTTTTCCTCTGTTTGTTATGTTGCAAACTCGCTTGTGTTTCCTGCTCTGTTGAATTTGTTTTGCGTATAGTATCACAATGCAGCTGTAATTTGTGACTTAAGATGCCTTGCTTCTATTTCCTAATCTTCTGCAAATAATGAACAAAAATGCTAATGGAATGTTGTTTTGCATAGTTTTGCTTTTTAAACTTGGAAGAAAAATGTGGTGATATTTTCTTGTGAGGTTTTGTTTTTTAAATTCTAAGTTTGAAAGCATTGCAGAGTGATTACAGCAGGCTGTTTAGTCTGGAGTTAAATTAATGGCACGGATTAGTTAACAGCCTTTATAAGACAGAAGTTGCATCGACATGACAATTGCAGAGTGAACAAAAGTTAATTTTATATACAGAAAGTAAAGAGCTTTTTCCTTCCACGTCATGGCTAGGAAGGTTGTAGGTATAGGTTCCAAAACGAAAGGTGAAAGGTAGAAAAGCATTTCTTATTTACTGTTCTAAATATACAGCTAATATGGAATGGGCTAATACGGAATGGGGCCTGCAGAAGCATAGCAATTCTGAAAATCTGTAAAAAGTAGAAATAGCCAGATTCTGTTGCATTTGTAGGTGAACTACCTATACCTGATGATCCTGCATGACTTGTTGTTCTTGTTTTTATAGGCTGTTATTGAGGTGCAAAAAAGACCATTTAAGAGTTCGTTTTCCTTTTCTATTACGCTTTGGTTACATATGATACTTATCCCTCTCTCTGTTTCTCGCTACTACTGGAAATGTGTCAGATCTTAATTGCAATGGGTCTCATTGCTGTGAGGAAAGATCCTGTTGAGTCAGAGGTGTGCAGCAGAGCTCCCGCTGAGCGCTTGTAAAAGCATGGCTTCTGCAGCTTCAGATTTAGGCTATTTTGTAAAGTGTAACCCACCACTTAAATGTTCTGAGGAATTCCCTGTTTAGCTAATATGAAGTGGCAGTGTTCCTCAGGCTGTAATTACGTGCTCTCTAATAGAATGGCACCTCAGGGAGGAAAAAAAGCCCCCAAAATAATTAACAAGATCCTTGGCAGGGTGTCTTGGTGCAGAGAGCAGAACACTTTCTATATTGGCTTTACATAAGTGTAAGTTTTGGAGGAGGTAGGCATGGAGCAGACAAGCAGCCCTGGGACGGGTTAAAAAAAAATCCCTCGATTATTCAGCTGTTTTGCAGTCTTTTATCTGTATTAGGCAAGCACCCATTGGGCTAGGTGTTTTATAAGCTTAGAGCCTAAATGCACAAAATGAAGAAAAGAGGAGAGATACAAGAGAAGTGATTTACTCAGGGTCACGCTGTGCGTCAGTGGCAAGGTGAGGCTTAGAACATCTTACTCATGTTCTGCATCCACTGTATTTTGTGAAATCTCTTGAAAAAACTCCCTAGAAGTTTTGGAATTCTTGAGATGTATCTTACAACTTTGAGAGGTCAAGCCATGAATGATTGCTTAATGGAGTAGAAAAGAATTGTTCTCAAAAGCTTTTTTGTTTAGATTTTAAAGTGGCATTTGGAATTAATTCAGAATGGATATTGTTCCAAAAACATGATAAAGTACAATGATTAAAACAAGGCTAATCAATCACTCGCTCTTTATTAGTAGGTCTATATTGTATTTGAGCTGGCTGGTTACCTAGGGATGGCATTTGAACATCCACACGTTGAATGACCTGTACAAGTATACGCACATAAGAATTCCACTGGTCACCTACCCGATGACTGTGGGACAACTTGGGTCTGGATAACCTAGTATTGTTTATTTGGAATTTTTTTATTATCTGAATTCACTAATCCTAATTCTTTGTTTTTGTTTAACCAGGTTGGCAACGTTGTACAAATCACCAAGTCAGAAGGAGTCAACCATACCATATCACGTTACAGTTAGTATCTCTTTTGAGATGGAAATATAGAGATAAGAGCAAAGTGTTAACTGTGAAGAATTTTTCAGAGATTTGTAGACAAATCTGAGAATGCCGTTTGCTTTCTTAGAAGGCAACTGAAAGGCACCACTGAAATTAGCCAATAATATCGGGATGTCTCCAGGTTTATGAATATTTTGCCCCTGTGCCTCTCTCTGAAAAAATGATCCATCATGTCAGTCTTCTTATAGTGAAAACATTTTGATTTCCAGATCAATTACAGGCAGCCTGTTCCCATCTGCTCGTGTGCTGTTGTACTGTTTATTTATCTGTCCTTGATGTTAACTCTTGGCCTCAGTGTAATTACAGAGGACAGTCATGCACTCTCTGGGTCTTCATTTTGGGAGACTGAGCAAATCAAGCTGTTCTCTCCTTTGTAAGATAGGTTGTTTGTTTCCATAGTGGCTTTGCTCTGCATCTGCTCCATTCTGAGGTTATCTTTTTAGGACAAGGGTGACTAAAATCATACATGGTGTTCCAGACATCTCACCAGTGCTTTGAGCCGCACATATTTTCCCATCTCTGCTTTAAGTACATTGGCTGCCCAAGGTACTGCCTAATGACCAGCCAATATAGACAGATTTTTCTCTCCTGTCACTGTCATATGATGAGCTTCCAACTTATGGCTGGAGTCCTTATTCACCCCCAGATCAATCCTATGTTTATATTCCTTTATGAAGTGCTTAGAGACATATGGATAATAATACATAGCATCTAAACTATATTTAGGTTGAAAAAATAATCTTATATTTTCAAATGTCACATACATAGGTACATGCAATAACTATTTGTTGTGTGTCCTCATGGAAACACGTTGCCATAGCATTTCCTGCAGATTTTAATGCTGCCTGTACAATGAGGTTTTCAAACTACTGAACAGAAATCAGATGTTTTTTTCATTCCTGAATATATTTACCTGGATAGAATAAATACTGCAAAAAAGTATATATATCTTCATATATGTACACACGCACATATATATTCTTAGTTCTGTAAAGACTTAGAAAGGTAAGTGGGACCACATCCCAAGGTTATTTGGGTCACATAATATGAGTGTGCAGGCCTCCCTCGCCAGCCACCGAACAGATTGATCATACCTTAGACAGTTAATTGCCTTTTTGCTTTCAGTTTTATACTTATTACAAAACAGCAATGCTCCCTTTTCTATGTGCATGCACATAATTTTGAAATACAGTTGAGAATGTATTCTAATACAGGATAAGTTACAATTTAAGATTATCCTTGTGTTTTCCCCTTAATCTTGCTGAGCTGCTTCAGTAGATGGTTTCTATAAGTAAAAAAATGTATTATCCCTATTTCTTTCATGCAATTCAGGTCTGATGGTAACTGTCTTCTGTTATCGTTTCTCGTTGCCATCTCAGTAGTTAAAAACTGGAAGAGGTAAATATGTGTTCAGTGCTTCCAAATATGATCTAGCACATCTATGTATACCCAGCATTCAAAAAAATCATTTTATAAATTCTTCAGGGAGCCCAGTTCCTCAAAGACTTCTAGGCTTATAACTGCTGTTGATTTCAGTGCAAATTAGATACGCTGGTACCTTTGAAAAACTGGCTGTTGAGTGCCTGTAAGCTGATGGAGAAGTATGTAACTCAGTGACCAAGCTCTAGTCCTTTTTCAGTTGTTTCCTTTTCGGCATCCTGGCAGGTTGGTCACCACTCTGAGCAAGTGCGGAAGCCATGGAACACCTATGCGATGAAATAATGTCTCTTTCACAGGCTGCTGTGGAGTCATTCTTAAATGCAGAGTATAGAAGTACAAAGTGATTTAAGCACAAGGGAGCAAATAGATCATCTGATTACCTAAATTTCTCAGGTAATGTGACCTGATTATTTGATAGTGGAAGACAGAGATCCAGAACCTGTATTCTGGATAAGAACTGTCAGCGTTTCCCTGAACATTGGAGGATCTGCCAGACTAACCATGAGAATACCTTTCAAGTAATAAAGCCACCTAGCCTTGTCAATCGTGGTGCAGTCTGTAGCCACCAGAAAATATTAAAGAACAGTTCAAAATGACCATTGAGTATCTGAGCTTTGCAGGCCTGAAGAACCTTTTTAAGCCTTAGTTCCATTAGCCATGTTGTCTCCATCTAAAAACCATTACCAGGCTTCACAAATATATCTGAAGTTCTTGTATTTTCGTCACCAGAGAGAGGCTATGCCCAGAAGAAACATGCCTTTAACTGAACACAAAACATCCAGACTGAATGGCCTCCTTCATCATGTTCCAGGCTTTATTACCATTGGAATGCTTTCGTTAGGAGTCTCGCATGCTGGATTAAGTGGATTCTTGGCTACAGATCCACCTTTGCGCCTCAGGGAAATGGCAGAGATTAGATGCAAGCAGCAGTGAAACACTAAACTTTAAGATTCCCTTTATGCTATTTAGAATAACACTTGAGTTGCTTAAAATAGCAGAGGGACTGTACAAGTTCTGCCCTTGTGGCATCCCTTGATGTTTGTTCCTTTAAAGCATAGCAGGCTGGATGAGGTGAGGCATTTAGAGATAGATTAGAAATACAGAGACGGGAGATTTAAGCAAAACATTTTGGTTTCATGTTGTCCTGGATCGATCTTGGTATGGGATATATGCGCATTCTAGAAAAGTCGTGTATCTGATAGTAATTCTACCTGATTTTTCACACTGCACCAACCTGAAATGTCAGCTCTTCTGAAATGCTGTCATCCCCTCATTGTTTCTACCTGAGCATTTAGGATCCCCAAAACAATTTATTTTTCTGATGACCCCTTTTCCTCTCCAAGTCTCTGCACTGCTGTGAGAGTCCTTCGATGAGCTGTCAACAATGCTCCCTACACAGTATTGTCTGGAGATGGGAGGACAGTCCTGGGCCTCACACAGTGTAACATCCCGATGTCTCTGTCTGCACTGATGACACTTCAACTAACTGATTTTCCAGCTCTTTCGTATTTTTAAATCTTTTAAAATCAGTCATCTAAATGGTGAGTAAAGCTAACAGAAAATACCAGTGGTCCTAAGGAATGTAGAACACTTTGAGCTCTCCACTGCGTACCAGCATCTAGTTTTCACTTCTACATTTAGGTTTTGGCAGTTAAAAGTTCTCACCCCATTGTGTCCCATAAATCACTGGGCTGGGAAAGTCTGTGGTCTGGATAGACTGATTCAGATATGCTCTTCTCTTGCATCTCATTGCCACTTTCAGTTAATTAAACAGATACATGAAACAAACATATCCTAAGTTTTAGAAATTCACAGTTGTGTTTCTGAGAACGACTGAGGCAGTGAGTCCAGCAGTCCCCTCCTCTAGAGTTACTCATGTTTTATATCCTAGGCTATATCCCGTATCCTATTGTATGGTTTTGCTTTTATCTTACAGCCTCACGGTTTTCGAGATGTGCAGCTTCCAGCTGTCACGCAAAAGCCAGAAGGTACCGAAATGAACCCTCGCAAACGGCCACGGAGAGAAGAGGAAAAATAACAGTAATTCAAAAGTCAAATGTTAAAAAGATGTGCTACATGAGAACATTTGCATAATAAACATGCAACCAAGAGTAGCATGAGAGATTGTTTCACTAAAATTCCTGTTCTGGACTTTACATCAGTGTTAAAATTACAATATGCAAGTTCCTTCCTGCATGACACAATTTTAATTTTCTAATAAAGATCTAAAATGTTTTCTACAGCAGGCTTCAGCTTTTTGGGGATGAAGAGCACACCAACTTATTTTATTGTGGGTACAAAAGTGATGTCAATTTAAACGACTAAATATGAGGATCTAGTAAGATAGATTTAATGACGTAGGTCTTCATCATTCATCTGTTTCCGTGTGCAGTTGAATTTTAACAAGGTTTCATGCAGTAGTCTGCTCACATGCCTCAAGCCAGGGCATAAAGCAGTGGAGCTTCTGATATAATGCTTTAAGATAAATACATGCTTAAATGCTATGCCAGTTCGTGGCTTTAGCCCTTACCTGCTGCAAAGTCCTTGATCAAGGGCAGTCAAAGCACTGTTTCCAACGTCTTATTTATCTGGTAGTGGTAAGAAGAGACAAAAGACTAGATTTGAAGGACAAAATATTTAATCCAGCATGGCAATTTTATGTTCTTATCTTGGTGAGTATGAATGTTTTACCGTCACTCAAGCTTGAACTTAACTGCTGCATAGCCCTTAGCCTCCATGTTCCCTTTTAACAAAGGATTCAGAATGAATATTCTGTAATCAGGATCTGCTTTGTTTGTGGCTTAATTTAGTAAACAGGATACCCAAGTTTCTTAGACACCAGCAATATATTAGCATCCCCAGAATGTAAACCAAATGAAAGAATGAGCGTCCACTGAAAATAGAGCAAGGATTTGTCCTCTTTATTAACAGAAAACAAATCTATAAGATGACAATTTCAGAAGAAGGAAGGTACTGCAATGCAAAATAGTAATTACTCCAAGCACAAGAAGTGTTTGTTTGGACACATGCACATACGTGACCCCTTTCTGGCACAGTACTTGACAATGTTATAGCTGAGGAAACTTAGCCAGCAGATTAAATGGAGAATTCAAGTTATGGGAGTCAGTATCTTTAATTTTTAATGTAGCAACACTAAACAGACTTTGCCTTTTTAAACGAAATTCAGTGCTGAATCTGAGTCACAAAACCTCTCTATTAAAAAAGCTGCAAAAAAGTAGTAGTGATATTTGGATCATTATAGTATTTAGATATAATTTACATAATAGAATACTAAAAGGAAAAGTATTCAATTGCCATACAGCACTCTGAGCTTTGTCAAAATTTAAAAACCATGAGTCAGGGAGAGCTCTCAAGCAAGCGTGACATAGAGGAAGAAAGACGGCGGGATTTGTGACTCAGACAAACATTTCAATGCAGGAGACATAGGCAAACAAAAGGATTCTACCGCATGTGATGTCAGCAAGCAAATGCTCCATTTGGGAATAATAGCTTCCTACGTATTGCAGTGCAAGAGGAGGGGGGAGCTGGCACAGTATACATGCCTACGTAGGTGCAAGGAAAACCATCCATTAAGAATGTTGTAGCAAGATTTTAAGAAGCATTGCTGGTTACTAATGATAGCTACTATCAAACATATTTGTTATTTATGGAAAAATCCACTTCTGTCAATTTATTGTGTTCTGATTTAATATCCTCCATATTCTTCCATATTCAAGGGGGGTTAGGACAGGACTCTAATATACTGTTAATTCCGCTAATTATTTATTTATTTTATTTGTGGTAGCGTAGCATCCAGGAGTCCCAGTTGAGATGCTGATTCTGTTATGCCAAGATCAATCATTTTGTTCGAATAAATGATAGATTTTCCAGTATTCCAGAAGTTATTTTCAACATAAAAAATAATGTTGTTATCGGTTAACAGCAGCAGTCATAAAAACTCCAAAGGTAATATTAGAAGCTGTCTGTGCTGAGATTTTGTTTTTCATATTGAAGCTATTATAAAAATCAGCTCTGCAGACCAGAACTAGAGAGAAGGATCTGTTGGCGGAGACAAAATTAGATTAAATGAGCCAGATTTCATTCTCATCTGCTGGAGACAAGAAAGCTGTTCCAGGCTTAGAATTGCGTAAGCAGAAAGAATTTGACCATTGCCTCACCAGTAAGTCTTCCATGGCAAGCTGATATTTTCTTACATGAGTCTGAAATTCTCTCGCATTTCACAGCATCAGTGTGCAGTAGTGAGTGGTATGAGATAATTTATGACTGCACAAAAAGTAAGATTCTAACTAGTCAACCTCACAGCACTGTATCCAGAACAAAATAGCTTGTTTAGACTGATGCTTGAATCCCAGTTTTCTGAAGTGCAAGAACTTTTAACTATCACGCTGAGTTCAGTATTACTGGATATTGTACTGACAACGTTTGCTTGTTGTGGTGACAAAGTAGCTTCCTACACAACAAGGATACAGTAACTACCACAGGACTTGGCAAGAAGAAAATACTGTGGTTATGATACACTTCTTCTCAAGCCCAGAATCATGCTTCGAAACTCTTTAGTCTGGCATGAGAAAATAACAATTTATCTCTTCCTGATTCCAAGGGTTCTCTGCCTTTTCCATTATGAAATACTGAGAAACCAACTAGCTTCCAATCAGAATAAATTTAAGAAAATATGGAGAGGAAATAGTTTTAGTTAAAGGTGTAAAGTTGTAGCCAAAGTTCAAGTTACACAATCAAACTGTCTTGTACTGAAGTCAATTACAAACTGATGGACTAATGCGGAAGGAGGCTCAGCTGCTAACCTGAATGTGGAATATAGTACTGAGAACAAATATTTAAAATATAATATACATGCCTCTGTTGAATTAAAATTGTTCTTCCTAGGATTATTTTGGGAGATTTATTCTAAGGCACTTCATGGATTAATGACAAAGGCAAAATCCTTATTTCCTGCCTTTTTAACTCTACCCTTTTTCTGAAAGGAAGAAGATATGCAAGCTGGAAGGATAAGTCATTGTGTTCCAGCTTGATGGAAGAGATTGTCTTACTATGCTCAGGATCATAATTACTTAGAAAGACACTTTAAGCAATATTACACTGCTTTAACATATTCTAATTCTATATAAAATATGTTTTATCAAGTTATCAAGTATGGTATGATGTTCTTTTGTTCCAAGACAGAGTACCTTGAGGGAAATTACACAAATAGAGCACTTATATTGCACTAACACAAATATTACAACACAATACATAAGGGAAATAATGTTTCTCTTTAGAGGACTAGAACAAGGGAAGATAACTTGTGGTTCTCAACCAGCTGGAATGTAACCGCCCCACCAGGACTGTGCTTCAGGGCTGGCAGGTTGGTGCGGCGGCCTCGGAGCAGCATGAGTGCCTGGCTGTAGGAGAACATGAGCCAACGAGTGCTGAGGCTGCCAGCGTCTTGGGGCTGCTGAGCTGCCTGCTCAGTCCTCCTGTGCGTGCCAGTCCTCCCCTCAACTCTGGGAGCCAGTGCCAACTGCTACTTCCTCCTGGAGATCCCTCGCCCCAGATCCCCAAGGTATGTACCAATGTATTGTGGCTTCTAGCCATATAATGATTTTGGATGATTAGGGTCAGGAAAGTTGGCTTTCCTCTGCTAGTGCAAGATTTCTGCATTGATGCTCTGTACTAAAGAATGAAATCACCAGGAACTGGCCCTCTTCCCAGTATTGAATTTCACCCACAAATGTACCCACTATTAAACTGTAAACTACTATCTTGCTTCCTACAAGCAAGGAATATTTGTACAATATCGCTGATCTATTTAATAGAGATGCTAAGCTCTACATGGCTGTAGCTAAATCTGTAGAAATTATAACTGGTATTGAAAGCAATAGTTATAAGCAATTAAAAGGTTGGATTATATGTTGAAAGGGTGCATAGAAAAGTATATATTTCACTAAAGTCATTCTTCAGGAATTAAAGCTAACACTGGTCATTTTATTAAACAAAAAAAGTGCTATTTGCCATTGTTTTAAGTGGAGCCGGAGAAGCATCAGGAGATATATATATATGTGTGTGTGTGTATATATATATGTGTGTGTGTATACACAGAGAAAAGAAATATATATATCAAAAAAACTTCTTCAATACCAAAA